CTGGGCAACATAATGGCAGATGAAATTCAGTGTTGATAAATGCAAAGCAATGCACATTGGAAAATGCAATCCCAACTGTATCCACAATATGATGTGATCTAAATTAACTATAATTACCATGTTTTAGCACATATAACCTGTGGGTTGCACAAAGTTTTATAAACCTCGCAACTCCCCCGCGGAGTATACATGTCCACGGGCTATATAAGTTTATTTTTACTTGCCTGCACTGCGTTCTCCGTTCCCTCCCTCCTGGAGGCTGTGGCTGGTACGTGCAATTACCAGGTACCTTAAAGTAGTGTAAATAACCCGCGGGCTATACGCGTGCCTGGGTTATCTAAGACTTTTTTTTTTTTTTTTTACACACACACATTCAGGAAAAACCACGGGTTATGCATGGGTGTGGGTTATACACAAGTGCAAGTTATATGCGCTAATTTACGGTACTCAAGAAACAGATCTTGATGTTATAATCAATAGTTCACTGAAAACATTCACTCAATGTGGAATGGCAGTCAAAAAAAATCAAACAATGTTGGGACAGACTTTGTCAGAAAATATCATGATGTTGTTGTATAAATACATGATATACCCACACCCTGGATACCACGTGTAGTTTTGATTGTCCCATCTCAAAATAGAGATATTAGGGTTGGGAATATTACAAAAAAGGGCTACAAGAACGGTTAGTGTTATAGAGCAGCTTCCATATGAAGGGAGATATAAAGATTGGATCATTCATTTTAGAAAACGAGATAGCTAAGAGGGTATGAGAGAAGACTATGAAAGGTGTAGAGAAAGCACATAAGGAATTGTTATTTATCCTATCACATAACACAAGAAATTTACCATCACCCAATAAAATTAATACATATCAGGTTTAAAACAAAACTCAAAGTACTTCTTCACATGATGCACTGTCAGCCTGTGCAACTAATTTCCAGAGATACTGTGAAGGCCAGAAGTATAACTATGTTAAAAAAAAGTAGTAGATAAGTTCATGGGGGACAGGTCCATCAATAGCTATTAGTCATCATGGTCAGCGATGCAGCTCATATTGCTAGAGGCAAGGACTGAACAACGTTCAAAACTGCTTTGAGCTGTTTATTTCCCCTGAAACACTGGCACTGACCACTGTCACACCACAGGATACTAGGCTAGATGGACAACTGTTCTGAGCCATTCCAGATGTTATTTTAATCTTACCTACCTCCTAAGATGTTTCTTAGGATTAACAATGATCAAAAGTATACAAGTATAGCTTTACTTCCAAGAGAAGTTGATTATGAACTATTCTTTGAGAAGATAAATTTCCCAAAGTACACATATAGTAATGTCCTTTATCTTAATTACTTTCTTTCCCCCAAATCATGTCAAATTGTATACCCAAAGGACAAAAACTTTTTGCACTCAGTTTACTTACAGGTTAGGTAATCTGGTATCCTGCATGCATATCCTTCAGTATTCATCTCTGGTTTACTTGCAAGGCTGTTCAGTGCCTTTCTCAGAACTAATCAGACATCCCCAGAGTGTTCCTACTGACATCACAGGGAGTTTTGTCATTTATATGTGGCATCAAGTCTAAGCCATTTATTAGCATGTCAGTCCCACTTTAACCCCAAGATGTAAGGCTTGAATTGTAACAGCACAACACTGTTAACAGATAGCACAGTTAATCTATTTCAGTTTATACCGATAATGTAAATAAAAAAACTGATACACTGTTTACAAGACACGATAGACGATGAAAGCTATTTCAGTCTAGAAAGAGTTCAGAGTGCCAAAACAAAATGAAGGCTATTTAAAATGAAAATACACTTGAACTGCTAAGTGAACTCCTTTATTCTGAGTAATCTTGACTCTATATCTTCCTGCGGCAGTGAGGAAAATAATATTATTGAGAGTTAATGCACAAGTTTCCCAGACAGAAGAATAGTACAGCATGATACCTGGAACATCAAAACATAAATTGGTGATATAACTACTTGTAATGTGCTGCGGGTGATTGAACAAATCCATTCCCAAAAAACCCTACTATTGTTTTTCTTAAACAACCAAAACACAGACACCAAAACTGTTGAAATGGGATGGCTTGCATACATACATCCAAGACACTGTACATATAATGACCCTATATAGAAAAAAAAACCAATTCTATATATTTATGTGTAGCTTGTTCTCATTTATATTAGAAATTTATTTTTTCTTAAGAGCAATTCAGTAAAACAGAGAAGACCTCTTCATTTTCTAACTCGGGAAAAAGACTGTAATAAGCAGGAGCTGAGGCAGTTGAGTAATTCATCTCTCTTGAGAAGAATAAAACACGATTGCTCTCTCTGTACTGGCTGGCACAAACACTTCAACAACAATCTACTATTCAGAAAACAAACTGGCCTTTGTATTTTGTTTATGCCTTCACCAATGACACAACTCCTAAAGTATTTTAATAATACAAAATAATGGTGCCTGTATTGTGGCCAATTGCATATTTATATAAGTTATCATAATATAGAATATGGAATACATAATATAATATATCCTGCTAATAGATTTAAAGCTGAATATTAATCTGAACTATTTTTCCTCTTAAAATCATGAATAAGGGATCTTCCGGAAAAGGCTTTATTTTTCAAAAGATCCCGTCTAGACTGGCGCTTTTCTCCGGCAAAGCCCCGAGCCGGAAAAAAGCAGCAGCCATGTTCATGCAAATGCCGTGGGGGATATTTAAATCCCCCGCGACATTTGCAATTCCAACTTGTCTCATTAGCATCCCTTTTCCGGAAAAGGGTGCCAATGTAGACACGGCCGTAGAGTCTTAAATTGCACCTTTACTGCATAGGTTTCATTGCATTGCCTGGTGAAGTCTAATGAAATAGCTCTGAATTCATGGGAGGAAAAAATGATACAGTTTATTTTTCCAGGAAATGTCAAAGTTTAAAGTTCCAGAACATATTAGTCAAAAACATATTAGTAAATGTGGGTTCATATTCAGATTTGGAGTATTCTTAATTCTACAAATTCAATATGTGTGGCAGGATCTCATTGATAAAAGAGCTATGGAAGCTATATATATATGCATGTATCAAGATGAGATTCTACCTCTTAAACTGTATTATTAAAATAACAAAAAACATTTACTTCTGTACAGCACTAAGCATAATAGGGCCTCAGTACATACCAGGATTTATAAGGGCCCAATCAGAAACCCACTGAGATAACTGAAAGATTACCATTGACTTCAGTAAGCTTTGGCTCATGCCCTAGTTGCCCCTGTGAAACAAAATCTAAGTAATAATGTAATGACACACTGCACTTCTGTCCTTGTTACCAAATAATTCAACTTTCCAAGCCATAAAGTATAGACATCCAGAGAGAATCATTTGTTTCCAGAGACCAAGTGATCAGTGATTCAGAGATGGAATATGATGGTAGAAGGCATTTGGACAGAAATGGTGTCCATACCATATCTAGTTTTGATGGAATTGAACTAGTTAATACAGTAGAGGGGGGAAATGTAATGACATTTGAAAGAGTACAAAATAGTGGAGCTACTATAACAAATTGAATGGTAGTGTTCAAATTAGAGGGGAGATTTTTCAAAATTGAGTTAACTGTTTTCTTTCAAGACTCCAACAAGTACAGAAATATTTATATTAATTAAGGGTTATGAAATTAAGCTTAATCTATTTAAAGTAATTGGACAAGTCAGAATTAAAGTATTTATGCTTAAGTTAAGAGACAATATGAATAAGGAGAATTTAAGAAGGTATTTTACAGAGTAAAAAATAAATGTATTTATTTGTATTGCAATAGCACTTAGGTGTCCCAGTCAAAGAACAGGGCCCCATTGTATTAGACAATGTATGAACATAACAAAAAAAACCTTGTCCCCTTCTGCAATGAGTTTATAGCTTGCAGGACTTATGCCTTAAAGTCAATGGAACTACACTCCATGTGACAATTCAAGTATGTATATGAACCTTTAATAGAGTTACTCAAAATGCATAAAGTTAAGCACATGAGTAAATACTGGCAGAACTGGAGTCTAAATATAGGCTTTTATGAGAGGTGGCTGTTATGTATTATGAATATATTTAAGCAAAACTTGGGTGATTTTGTGCAGAGCCCTGCAAATCCGAAGATAGCCACTTTATATCCCCGTGTATCTGCATCCACAGATTACAGATGCTGAAAGACCCTTCTCACTTCTATACAGGCCCTGGTGCTTCTGTAAGGTACCCCAAATTGTTTGGGGGCCTGAACCATGGACTTTTTCCAGTCCTTTACTATCATAACAAGCAGCATCATTCCATAATTTTTTAAACAAGCTGTTCGGGGGAAGGCACATCAAATGTTTTCCAAAAGCTGTCTGCTGCTGCACTACATTATGGCCCCATTCCAGCTTTTCAATCCATTCCCACACCAATGGAAGTCACGTAAGTGTAAACTCTGTGTGCCTCCCTTCCATAACTCACTCCTTATAACCCCAAGACCATTAGAGATAAAGGGCAATTTTCAGTCATTCAATGAGCCTTAGATCAGGCCCTCTGGCGGTAAGCATGGTGTCGATATGTACATAGCAGAACAGGGTGACAAGAAGCAAGCAGATACATCATTTTGATGGCTTCTCCGACATCTCAATAGTGCCCATTGCTTCCGTCGTCAAATAAAAGTTGAATGGTGTATATATAAAAATATTTCCATGAAAAAAAAAATTAAATAATTTAAAAATTGAGTGTTTTACTTTAGATAAGATTTAAAAATTGAAGTGGTGTTAGAGGTGTAAAAATAGCAAGACCCCTTCTCCCTAGGTATGTCAGATATATACAATAGTCAAATTTAATAATATTACCTATATTTTTAAATATAAGATCAATGCAGTATAAAAATATTTTAACTCTCCTACTGTTCAGACCATTTTACTTGATTAAACATATCAATGACTCATTATTTTATTACTGAATAGTAGTGAAAGAATTTTAGAAAGAAAAGTTACTTACCTTTACTAGATGTAGTAAACCATTTCAGTGCAGATCCAGAAACATTACCTATAAGTAAATACATTCAGAATTCAATTCAGTTCCTTGGAGGGCTATTTTTAAACATAATTTTTCTACTGACAGACTGATATAGCTTATTGTTTATATATTTGTGTAACAAACTTTCAGCCTCATGTCCAGCATTTCCCATAAACTATCTGGCATTAATAGTTTCCTGTGTGTTTCCAGTTAGTCACGCCAAAAGAAATAATAAAAACATTCTCATAAACTTCCATTTTATTAACTATATAAATCCAAGTTTAGCATGAGTGAGTTTAGTTTTCCTGATTACTTACATATCAGTTATTATACATTTCTAAAATCAATACAAATAATCCTAAAGATCAGGAATATCTTACTCCAAAAACATGCTTCCTTCCTGAACTGTCTCACACACAATACTGTGATATGCTCTCTGCTTGAACACATGCTTTGTTTCACCCTCACCAAGCTCCAACTTTCACTATCCCACAACTAATTATTCTTCCCAACACCATATTTCACCTGTGATTTTTTTCCTTATTGCGGTCTTACTTCCACATGATAGATTTCTTTCTATTTCTTTCTTGATTGCCCAAAAGGCCATTTTAAGCCTTAATCTCAAGCCTTCTCTGATTTTCAGTTGCAGATATCACTCAGCAACCTTTAACAGTATCATCATTTAGTACCTTTTAGGACTACACAGGTCATAATGAAACACCTGGAAATAAAATAGTATCCAGCGTAGATCTTGGATCCAAGGACAGTGTGGGATATTTCTATGGAAGATACAGATTAATAGCCAAGCAACAACTTTCCGCTCTATGGCTTTGCAAAATGTAATCTTGCCTGTAATCCAAAGTGGACCGCCATTTTAGAATTCAGTCACATAGCTTTTAGCTTTCTATCCCCTCTTCCTACCTACATCTCCTATCCTCATTGTTGTTTTTCAGTTTCTATTACTGAAGGAATGCTTTTTTACAGAGCAGTAGACAATATTGTCTAAGATAAATATTGTCTAAGTACTAAAAACAGCAAGTTAGACGGGTGATTACAGGCAGTCCCCAACTTACGTCGGATCCGCACTTACGAACGGGGCTTTTCTCGCCCCGGAGCTCACGGGCGGCGGGTCGCCGCCCGTGTCCTCCAGGACGAGAAAAGCTTCTCCCGGTCTCCCTGGTCTGCTGGGGGGCGGGGGTCCAGCAAAGCCGCTGGACCCCCCCCCAGCAGACCAGGGAGACCGGGAGAAGTTTTTCTGCCCTGGAGAAAAGCCGCCCAGGCAGCGGGACCTCCGCCGCCTGGGCGGCTTTGCTCCTGTCTCCCTGGTCTGCTGGGGGCGTCCAGCAAAGCCGCTGGACCCTCCCAGCAGACCAGGGACACCCGAGCAAAGCTGCCCAGGCGGTGGCTTTGCTCGGGTGTCCCTGGGCTGCCAGGCGGGTCC